CTTGAGCTCTTGGTAATTACGTCACGAATTTAATGTTGTTAATAATTACTAAAATTTATCAAATAATAATAATAATAACAATATTAATAATAATAATATATTTTGAAACAAATTTTTAAATTTATATCTTCATATTAAAAAAAAAAAAGATCAATAAAAAATAAAAGGAAAAAAAAAAAATTTCCGTTAAAAGGAAATATGAAATAAGATATCATGCGTATTATTATTATTATTATCATTATTATTATTATGAGTACACGAAATAAGCGATGTTACTTACGCGTGAATGAACAGAGGCAAAAGAAAATTTTTACATGAGCGTACTTATACTTGAAAGTAAGTAAAGGAAAATTGTTCGGAAAATTAAAAAAAAGGACAAAAAAAAATTCGTAATAATAATAAGTTGTTACGAAAGCAATTTTGAAAAGTGCTTTTAGGGGATGAAAATTTTAAGGAATGATGTACCGGTACCAGAAATTAACCGTTAAATTTTTCATCGCGTTGAATAAAATTAAATATAAAAAAAAAGTAATTGTTATTATTTTGAAAAAATTATAATAAACTTTAAAAGGAGTTATCACAACGAGAATATTTTCGATGATTTTAATAAAGTGTGAAATTTGGCAACAGTGTTGATAAGAAAGGATAATATAAACAAAACATAAAGCTGGAAGTTTGAGCTTAAAGCGCGATTATTTTAATTAAATATTTTGGAAATTTGACGTTTGAAAAAAAAAAAAATTTTTTTTATTTCTTGCACGATAATATTCGAATTGAAATATTTTTGCACGACGTTTAAGAAGAAATAAATTATAACATAAATCAAAAATAAGAAAAAAAAAAAAAATCTGTTAGAAATTTATCCACGACACCTTCCATAAACTAAAAAAAAAAAAAAAAAGAAACTGGACATAACGATAAAAAATATTTAAACATTTTTCTGGTATTTTAACTTCCAACGAGATGAAAAACCTATAAATAAAGATAAAAAATGTCAGGGAGTAAAAAAAAAAAAAAAAAGGAAAAAAAGAAAAGATCTAAATTTTTTTTCTTCCTTTCTTAACCTTTTTCTACCACCCTCTCCTCCTCCTACTCCTCCCCCCCTCCGAAAGAAAAAAAAATCAAACTGACATATAAAAACCTTTAAAACAAACACACGATGATATAAATTTATTAACAATTAACTTTAACAAAATTTTTTGTTATTAATTTTCAATTTAAAAATTCTACGATCCGTGACGTATATATATTTATTTATTTAAAAAAAAAAAAAAGAGAGAGAGAGAAAAAACAAACAAACGAACAAACAACAACCCCCATTTTAAAATAAAATATGACTGAATTAAGGGAGGATGAAATCATCTGGTTTTTGGCAAAAAGAAAATTAAAAAAAAAAAAAAAAGGGAAAAAGAGGAAAAAAATCAGTTGGAAATATATATATTTATTAAAATTTAAGTGATCTGTGATTCATGATATTTAACCCTTAAAGCCTGGCAAAGGATAAAAATATTTCCTTTTTTCCTTTTATCCCCTTTTTTTTTAACCTAATAAATTATTTACTACGGTATAATTATATTCTTTAAGTATTATTTACAAAAAAAAAATTACGTATACAATAACTATAAACGTTCGTTAATTATTTTAAAAATTAAACAAAATAATTTTTAAAATAATAATAATAATAAAAAGATTTTTCGTATAAAACAACAAAAGCAACATTAAAATAAATATATAAAAAAAAAACTTTTAAGTACTTAAAATTTAAACAAAAAAAAAAAAAAAAGGAAAAAAAAGGTTCAGTGATTTATTTTTGCCTTGTCTGAATGCGTATTTGATTTCTTTTTTTTTAAACAAACAACAGGAGGAAAAACCATTTTGGAAAGTGAAATATATATATACATACAACAGCAACTGCGATTTAACTATTCCTTAAACGTCAAGTAAATTTATGTTTTTTATATTTTTAATATAAATATATATATTTGTTTGAAATTATAATATATATATATTTATATACATTTCAATTTATTTATTTATGTATGTTGCCATATTTGCTTTTTCTACTTTTTTTTTTCTTTTTAATTCGAAAAAAATCAATTTGAAAAAAAAAAAAAAACTTTTTAATGACCAAAAACAAAAGAAGGCTCTCGTAAAAAAAAAAAACAAATTAATAATAATAATAATAATAATAATAAATTTTTAGGTATTTATTCCCAAGGTATCATATTTTGAAGGTCAAAACAATTAGACAAACACATGACCAATTGTCGCGATTAAAAATGACGAAAACAAAACAATTTTTGTTCGTGTGTCGACCTGAAAATGCCTAAAACGAGGAAATGTGATTTTCGCAACGTTCCTCATCCTGGTCACTCCAGAGATGTTGTTGACACCTGAGTCCAGGACAGGAAATAACTCGCTTTCATCGAATAAGATGAACTCACGAAGACTTAGGAGAATTGATGTGATGTCATAGGTTATAACAAGACGAAATCTATTCAGGCATGTAGGAATCATTGATATTTAGGCATTTATTCCTTAGGGATCAAAATAAAAACCTCAAATAAATGTTCAAAGATCTCCGACAAACATCACAAGACGAATCGTCGTGATTACGAGTGAAAATAATAATAATAATAATAGTAAAAAAAAAAGAAAAAATCAAAGGAATATCGATTCGAAAGAGTAATAAAACAAAAAAAAAATTTTTTTTAAACAAATACAATCGAAAAAAATAAATAAATTTTTTTGTTGTTGTTTAAACAATTTCAAATAATTATTATTATTATTATCTATTAATTAATTTACGTTATTATCGATAAAAATTTAATCAATTACGGCTTTGATATTTTTATTGGTTTTTAAATTTAATTTTTTTTAATAAAAATAATTTTTCGGGTTTTCATTATTAATTTTTTTTTTTTCGTAATAATTATTTATTTATTTAATTCTCGATTTGTGAAAATTCAATTTAAAAAAAAAGTTTGCCATTTTTTCTCGTTTTGCCCCCACTCTCCCCCCTACCTCTCTCTCTCTCTCTCTCCCTTCCTCCTTTCATTCGTTCGTTGATTTTAATTTTATTAATATTTATTAACTACCTT